GTCGAGATTGACTTTAATTAGGGATGGACTAGAATATTTTGGAATTTGGTTTATTTTAACGTAATTATAGGTGTAAATTTTTATATTTGTATTCAACATAACTGCAAGAAGATTTTTAGGAAAATGACAAATAAATCTCTTCAAAATAAGCAGATGATAAATAAGTATAAGAAATGGGGTAATTATTATATTTTGAAGTTGCTAAGGACTTACCTGACATAGTCCCTAAGAAGAGAGAATAATTTTTTTGGTTACATTTATAAGTCACCCATTAAATATTAGTTAGAGAAAGTATGTATTAAATTATGTTAGTAGAAAAAGCAAATTTAGATCCTTAGTTCTATTAAAATATATTGAAAGGAGTATATGAGATTAGAAGAGTAATTTTCTGGGAAATTACATTATTGAACATCAGCAAAATATTAAAAGGCGTCTGTTAAAATCTAAAATGAATTTGTTAATTATAAAGGTGAAATTATTAATATAGAAAGCACAACTATTAGTTTAGTTATACAATAATAAGTACTATGTTCTTATATAACAACTTCAATTCATGATTAAGAACTTTAATTTATGGACTAACAACAAACGCTAACCATAGTTTCAGTTTAGTCATGCAATAATTAACTATCATTCCTATATTAAACAACTATACATTGTTATTAACAATTTTAGTTTACATTTTAAAAATTATGTTTTCCATTATGTTTTTCATATGCATGTATTTGTTTTAATCTTTCTCTTGTAAAGTAATGTAGAAATTTAAAATTATTTTTTTAGAAACTACGTAGTGTGTGTATATAATTTCTTTTGCCAATTATATATACGCACATACTCCTAAGGCCTTATTGTATTCTTCATACTTTAACTTATATTTAATCGTCATCATTCTATTTCTTTTTTCCATTCCCTATCATTCATTTCTTTTCATTATTTTTCCACAAACCAAAACGACTCCTTATTGATTGAAAACGAGGATTGCATAAATAATACTTTCATTAGGGAAATTTTAGTTGCGTTTTAGAAAACTAATCAAAATCAATTGCCTTTCTGTTTATTCACACTTCTATAATGATTCTAAATCAATTGAAATCCAATCCACTAGGGATTCAACCTAAGTTGCACCATATACTATATTATGATAGACACTTAGTTTAATTTAATGCAATAACAACTAGTTCATTTAAATTAACAAAGAAAGTTTATGTGTAGCTTGAAAGTTGCCTAAAAATGAAATCTTGAACTAGCTTCGATGATGTGTTAAAGAAATTGTTAACGCATTAAAATGGAAGCAGAGAATAATGGTAGTTCAAGGGTATTTTAACATGATAGCACAATTATGTTAACATGTTAATCTGGCCAAGGCTATGGAGAAAGTTTTCAAAATAGACATTTTAACGTTTTAGCAAGAATAGGTTCACTAGTGCTAAATATAATTTTAATAACATAATTTTTGCAATAATTGTATAAAGAATTCGTAAATATGGTGTAAAAAGGATACTCAACAGACGCCTCATCTTCATGGGCCATGCATGCCTCTTTTCTTATTGGGCCTTGCTCATATTATAAGCTACGTTTTCTTCCCCTAATATTTTAAGCTAACTTCAAACACCTTATTATATCAGTACTCTCAATTTTACAGATACTCCCTCCTATATATATATATATATATTCCTTTCCTACAGCATGGTAACTAATTCATGTTTTATAAAAATGTTAGTTGAAACCTTATTTTTCTAAAATGTCCATATCTTTACATTTTTACTTTTGAGTTTCCTAATAATGCACTGATATCAACTAGGGCAGGGCCTAGGGTCTAAACTAGCTAACTCTATTAAGCCCGATTATGTTTCAAGGCTCCATTTATTCATTTTGGCTTCGGCCCTTAGGATCTTGGTCCTATTTTTTTTTCTCATTTTTCAATTTAAAAATCTAAAAAACATATTTAAAATATCAAAAAAGTTATTACACATAACATTAAATTTTAAAAAAAACAAGTTGAGTCAATATACACGACAACAAATTTAAATCTAAAAAAATAACATAAAAAAAATCATTGACAACAACAAGACTTTGCTAGCATCATTAATTAAATATTGATAATTTTTATTACCATTAATATTAATATAATTTCATCCTTCTCCTTGTAAAGCCTCATCAATGACAAAAATATTAAGCTTTTCATATATTCCTTCTTCATCCTTATGAAATAAGGCTAGGGTTTTAAAATTAATGTATTATTTAATTTTTTCAATATTAAAATTAAAAAAAAGGCCCCTTTAAGCATGAATTAATGTATTTTTTCGGGCTATGGGCTAACCCTAATTGATGACTCTAGTAATGCATGCATAATCTTTAAATATAGAGCATTAAAGGCAAGATTTTTTTTTAAAGCAAGGGTTATGAAAAAAAAAAAATCATCAATGCCTTTTATTTTAGACCAAGGGGTGTTTCTAGAAAATGACTTCTATTGTAGTTCCAAAGGAATAGGATGCTTTCTAGAAGTTTGTTTTATCCCTAAATATAAGGGGTGTCTTGATAATTTTGAACGATTAGAAAATTTTACCCTTAATGTCTTAAAAAGGAAAAGATATATTAATTATGTACTCACCCCACTAGCATGATATTAATTGTGACATTATTAAAAGCAAAATGAAACCATTATTGTAATTTATGTGCTGTCAATTAAATAACACATTTTTTTATTAATAAGTAGGATTTAGTTAAAAACATTTTACATATAGAGAGGAGAGAGTAAATTAATTGCTACTTTTCAACAAGGCTATATTCAAAAGTAAGTTCGAAATTTAGCACATTAATTACTTCTGTTAATTATTGTGCAAAAACTATTGTGGAGGGACTGATCTTGATTTGAGAGTTGATACAGAGACGGATTCACCGGGGCAAGCAAGTTTCAAACAAAAAAAAAAAGGTTAAATTTACATGCTTTTTATCTGTTAAAAATGTTAAATAATTTTAGGCCCCAATATAATGTAATTTTGCATTTTGCCCTCATAAAGTTAGTTCTACTCTCTCTGATCCTATTTATTAGTTATTTCTAACATATTTATTGAAATTCAAAAAAAAACTGTTAATGTCTAAAAATTAAATAAGTTTTTAACTTTATCTCTATTAAATATATATACTTTAAAATAAAATACTTTGATATTTAATGAATTTTTTGATATTTAATAAGGATAAAATGATAAAGATATATCATTATAATTGAGATATTTTTAAATAGGACCAAATCAAACAATCTATTACCTTACAAATAGGATGAGATCCGTCTTGATACAACTTCACATTTCATGTAATATACTCCCTCCGTCCTTATATATATAAAAAATCTTTTTAAAATTTTTTTATTATTAAATATAAAAAATTATTAGTGTATTTTTTTTAATGAATGGATCATTATACCTTTATTAAGTTAAAAAAAAGATAAATACTCTTATTAATTTAGTTGAAAAATATATTTATTTTTATTTATAATAATTAAGAAACTTTTATTAAAATATTGATATACTTTTAATTAAATAATTAATTTTTATTAATTTGTGTGATTTAATTAAAAATATTTTATATATAGTGACAGAAACAGTAATTTTTTTTTTATGTGCTTCGGACAAAAACAAAGTTGTTTATATTGAGTTCGCATCGGTCATCCCTATCTTTTCATTTGTTAGTCATTAAATACTCAATAATGTTGGTTCTGCCACTTGGAAGCAGATAATATTCTGTTATTCAGAAGCATTAATAGCGAAGCATGGGACAATTTTATTGATTGATCTCAAAATAGACTTTGGGGATCGCCTAGAATATTTGGATTTTGTCAAATGCCTTCTGACGTTGCCTTTTCGAGATGCAGCTCATCGAACAATTTGCCTGCCTACTCATTGCTAATAGTCTTTTAAAGGACAATTTTATTTTGAAAATTTTAATTTCATATATTTTTAATCATTTAATATATTCTTATTAAATTATTTAATATAATTTAGAATTAAATTTAATTTTTAAACTGCCAATTGTTACTTTTGGGAGAGATTTTTGTATAATGCGGCCTCTAAAAATCTTACTTTTGGTCAAAAGTGAAAATTTTGACCATTAATTTTAATAGTCATCACTGAAATTATTTTTTCTTTTTGTGGTGATGTTTGATACCAATATTAATTCTTCCATAACTATACATGTGTTCATGGGTGTTAAATATACTTATTCAATAACTATCATAATTATAGTTACTAAATTTCATTAATACTTAAAAATTGTCAAAATATATTTTCCTTCAAAAATTTAAGACAGTTAACATGATTAGAACACTCTTTACTTATGATATCCACTCTAAAAATTTGAGATTTGATACCCTTTTAGTATTGTATGACAAAATCTTTGACAGTCTTTCGGTTAAATCAAGCCATTGTTATCATGCTATGTGAACTCATTGAATGACTGTACTTAAGTTACTCACTAGATCTAAAATCATATGTGTATGTTATATTATGGAGTAAGCTGGTACTAAATGGAAGGACATTCATCTTGCAAGCCATATTTATACAGCTATCTGGTAATTAATTTGTTACTATTGCTAATTGCTAATTTAAATTCAGGCAATGTCTGCCCAAAAGAATTTAAATGTAACTCTCCTAATGTAATTTTTTAAAATTCATAAAATTAGAGTATTCGATCTTATTTAAGAGAGATTGTATTTTTTGTAACTTGATCGAAACAATGCCTGATCAACCAAGCCATTTGATACAAACATTAATTTTGTTTGAGTTTCATTAGCAATCTTTTCAACATTGTCACCCAAAATAAGGGGAAAAAAGGTAAGATGAAGATCAAGTGTAGCTTAGATATGTTTTATAATTAATTAGATAAGGTTTAAAATTAATGGAAAACCTACTATTCTAAACTCCCAACTACATGTAGGCCCTTCTGTGTGTGTATATATAGAGTATCCCTTATAGTTCTTTCAACAACCATACCATATCCTTTCTTTAATTTGCAAGAAACTGATTCAAATGGCTTCCAAGGCCTTTCTTCTTCTTGCTCTCTTGGCTCTCTCACTACTTATCTCCTCGAGGGTGTTAGCTAGGGACTTGTCCGAGTCATCCTCTAACCATGGTGAGTTCGAGGGCTTTCTTGATTCTCTAGTATAAACTGTTGTTTTTTCAAAAAATTTCATTTGTATAAATTTTATATTTAATTTCAATTTTTATATTCTATCGTCACTTTTATATATTCATAGTGAAAATTGATATTTTTCTAATTCTTGACTCTATATAGCACCATAGCTTTGGGGGATTTCAATCCCTCCTCATTGCAATTTTTATTAACAAATAAAAGTTATTTTGGGATGATAATTTTATAATCCAAAAGTTTTGGACAAAAATAGAAAATTGATAATTTCTTTTAAAATTTTTTACATGTTTTAACGTTATATAAGAATGAACTCTTGCGATATTATTACTAACCATTCAAGCATTTCTTCTTTGTGTACATTTATAGCTGAGGTAGAGACAAAAAATCATGGAGAGGTGGATGATGCCAAATATGGTTATGGAGGTTACCCAGGCCATGGTGGCTATGGCGGTGGTTACCCAGGCCGTGGCGGTTATGGAGGCGCATATCGGGAGGATATTGCCGCTATGGATGCTGTGGTGGAAGGTATGGAGGAGGATGTAGAAGATGCTGTTCTTATGCTGGTGAAGCTGTGGATGCACAACCAAAGACTGAAGCTCATAACTAAGACACTTCACTTACATGTATTATTGGAACTATGTGATGCTTTTTGTTGTACTAGTAAAGTGTATTTTTATTATGTTTGTTGTGAGAGCATTAGGTACGTGCTTTGTCTTCACTCTCTCGTCTGGGAATAATGGAGTTTCATGCCTCACATCAAAGTGTAATGTGTGTCATTTACGTTTAAGTATTTCTTGTACAATAAAGTGTCTCAGAGATTGCTTTCAGCAATTAAAATGGAAGATGCCATATTTGATAGAAATATATATTACTCGGTTAACATGTTATCTTTTTTTTTTTTTGTTATTGCATTTTCTTTGATTTATATAATAATATTTGTGGTTCGAGTTACGTCTGTCGATAATCGACATGCCAGTGTAAACCATGCTTGTGAGCAGACATGGCACAACATGCCAAGTTTGTGCTGCTAGAGGCGACAGAACTTTTTCAATGTCCATGTGTGAATGTCGCACAACGTGTCATGTCTGCGAAGCGGATACTGACAAAGAACTCAGGCTTGGCATCTATTCGTAATTTTGGGATAGGGTTAATGAACATCAAGACCCTAAATTATTTAGTGATGCTAAATCCTGAACTCCTGAAATGCATAAAACTTCTCATTAACTTTTAAATTTCAAGCATCCAAAATTCAATGTTAAATTGTAGAAAAACAGCCGTTACTTTCAAGAGTCAAAATGAATACCACATCAGTATGAGATTAGGTCCCCCAACTACAAAAGTAATGGTCATTTTCTCTGACTTATCAATAGTGTGGTTTGAGGCGATCGGAATTTAGAACTTAAGATGCTCGTTGGCAATAAATTGTATTAATTTTATTATTTGATATTTATTTTGTAATTTTCTGAGGCATTTTCTATAATTTTTCAGCCAACTAACAAAGGAGTGATAATAAACTCTGATATAGTACTTTCTCTATCTCAAATTATAAGATACTTTTTTTTAAAAAATCTTACATATCAATAAATCTCATTAAATACACCTAATAACCTTATCTTTTCAAAATAAAAATATAAAATTTTAAAAATATCCATAATTTAATTTATTGAAAAGAGAAGGGATAAAAATTAATTATAGAAAGATAAAGGATAATATTAAAATTGGCGCGTTTAATGAAGCCTTAATTTACCCAAAGTGTTTTATATTTTGTGACGAAAAACTCCTTCAAAAGTGTTATATTATTTATAACGGAGGAAGTAATATTCTCAGTTAAGAATGGTAGTGTGACCATATAAACAAATAGCCACGATTGGAAAACATGTATATTTAGCATATTATAAATATTTTTTTAATTATTATGATAACATTTTTATTTTTATTTAAAATAGTAACAAATAATTTTAATTTATAAACATATATTTATATTTCATGTTAATATATTTCACTTGCATTTGTTTTTCTAAAATTGGAAAATCAAATAAAAATTACTCAGATTTATTTTGCAATCAATTTAGATAATCAAAAAAGTTCATCATAAACAAGTTCATTGAGGATTCGATCTTGTTTGCCACTTACTACACTAAAAAACTTAGTATTATATTAATTTGAGGCTTAAACGACTAGGTTTATCAATCAACAACATAATTTCAACCAAAACTTCTTATAACTCACGTTATCTACAAATCAATAAAATTGAGTTAAGAGTCTACAACATCATAGTAACCTAAAAATACTTGTAATCTACACCTGTAAATTTAGGGCCTGTTTGTCTTCTATTCTCATTTATTGTTTTTAAAAACTATTTTGTAATATAGTTTTGAAATTATTTTTCAAACAAAATGAAATGAGAATCTGTTTGATTATATCAATTAAAAAGCAGTTTTAGAATTAAAAAATGGACTAAGAATGATGGTTATAAGCAGTTAATGGTGGTGATTAATAATAAAAATTAGTCAAAGTAATTGTACTTTTCAATAATTAAATGTATTTTAATTTTAAAAAAAAAAATGAAAATAACTTGAAGTTGTTTCTATTTTTTTTCATTTTTAAAAATAAAAAATGAAAACAATTTCAAAAACACTTATTTAAATAAGTTTTTTAATTTCTCTGTTTTCAAAAATAAAAAACAATTTTTAAAAACAGAAAACTAACAAGCTCAAAAAATTTCTGTTTCCCGCTACATTACTCAAGATCAACCCCACCACCCCCCCCCCCACACACACACACACAAATTTGATTCGTCCGACATTTACCTTTAATCTGGAATCCCCAACTACTAGACAGTACTAGTGTTCTGAAAGCTACAGTTTTGGGATGTTCCTAATCAATCTATCGTTTCCTCAATCGGCAGTAACGAACATAATAAATAATATACTAAACCAAAATCATGCCTCAATTCAGATTTTAATCATAAAAAACTAGTTACGTGTGAGCTCATTTGCATCAACCCTTTGGAAACACTCGTAGAGTTGAAAATCTATGATATAATGGCCTTATCACCTTATGTCTTGGAAACTTAAATTCATTACCCAAAGTTTAAAACTATCATGCGCTAATATATAGAAGAAGGTCAAGGTAACAAATTTGAATGAGTTAAAAGCTAAAAATTTTCTGTTTAGAATCGTATTCAGAAGTGTTAATTCGAGTTATGTCTGTCAGTAATCGTCACAGTTCAAGTAATATCAGTGAGTAAACATGGCACAATGTGCCAAATCCACGAGAGGACATAGACAAAGAGCTTATACATGGCATTTATTTGTAATTTTTTGGGGACATAATTTGTATTAAATTTCATATTCTGTATTTATTTGTAGTTTTCTGTAATTTTTGGATAAAGGAGTATTTTTGTATCTGAAGTAGTCTCCAAGAGAAATACAACATCACAAACTATTTAATATATAGCATTGATTTTTCCCTAAAATAATTAAAAAGTAGTATTTTCTACTCCAATGTTAAATAATAAATGTTAAATTTTAATTTAATATGAAAGAAGATAGTTTCATTATTTAATTGATATTTTGAGCATTTAATGTCATGATAGAGAATGCTATATTTTAATTACTTTAAAAATAAAAATAATATATTAAAAAATTTAAAGTGTTAGGTGTTCTTTAAAAAGTATTTAAAAAAAAAAACACCTTTTATCCAAATTTTTTTAGGTAACTAACAGCACTATCATTATATTGCACTCTTTTTACTTTAAGGTGTGACAATGCTTTACCGTTGACTTTGAGGTTGATTTTGACATGACAGGTGCACCTAAAAAAAATTAGGAGTAAAATAAAAAATGTAAAGATTTTTTTATGAGTTAGATGTTAAAAAATATAAGATAATTTTAATCTTTCGAGATGTAATTATTATTTTTTTAAATTACTCCTATTAATGTATGACTTTATATTTATTATAGAGTATTTAACAAGAGTAAATATGAAAAGATAGGGTTAATTTGAAAGTAAGTAATTTTTATTAGAGAGAGATATTCGATTAAAAATGTCTTATTTTTTTAAATATAACACAATTCAAAACTAAATATAATTTTATTATAAAATATCATTATACAATACACATAGTTTCTTAAAATAATGGGGTGGGAGAAAATGGGTGGAATATAGCCGGACCCAGTAAAGTATAGTTAGGAAAGTTGGGTTTTTTCTTTATTTGACTTCCCCCTTAATAATGATTAAAAATCTAGTAGGCTAAAAACAGGGTCTACCTCTCGTCACCCCTTTTCTCTGTCCCCCCCCCCCCCCCGCTCCAAATCCCATCTCCGCCTTCAAACAATAAAATGAATGATACGGTCTAGATTTATTTATTTTATAAATTAATTATCATAATAATAAATTTAAACTCTTAAAATTTGACCTGCACAACTCATAATTTATATTGTTATTAAAATTTTTTAAATTATAATTTTTTTTATTTTATTGCATTTAATTATAAACTATGTAGGTTAAATTTTAACAATTCAAAATTATTTATTTATTTTTAAATATAATATTATGCTAATTGTTTTATAAAACAATTGAATCTCAACCATTTATTTTTATTCAAGGATAGAGATTGGATGAGGAGAAGAGAAAATGAGAAAGAAGGATGAGGAGAGGATCTCCTCCCCTTAAAAAATAATCATCATCTTCTTTTTTTTTTTTTTTTTTAACTAGAGGTAGTCAATCCTCCTGATGAATCAATATTCACTTCTTTTGTCAAATTTTCTGAGTTCCTCTATCATATGGCATTTTTGGTAAAATATTTGGTTGTTTGGAATATTTTGCTCAACAAATTTCCTCTATCCTACACTCTAATTTGGGCTTTAGGGCCAGGCACCATGTTAGTAGAGAAATTTTTGCATAGATTTGATACACCATGTTATCAATTCGTTGTCCAATAAAAATTTGGCCATGACATATGACTCTAAATATAAATTAATTTTTTCATTAATAATAATAGAGAAATAAAATACTCCCTCCGTTTAAAAATATAAGTTTTTTTTAAAAGTTGGATATTCAAAAATGTAAAGTATTTTTGATCTTTCAAAGTATAATCATTATCTTTTTTTCAAAAGTGCCCCTATTGATAATGACTTTATATTTATTATAAGCTATTTAATAAGAGTAAATATGAAAAGATAGTATTAGTTAAAAAGTAGGTAACTACTTTATTGAAAGGTGAGAATTAGTTAAAAATGTCTTATATTTTTAGACGGAGGGAGAATAAGAAATTAAAGAAACACTCTATTCTAAAAATAATAATACATTAGATCATACTTAATTAATTAGTATAACATGGCATGCTTTTATTAAATAGAGCATAGATGACATGATGCACTATATTCATAAAAGAATTTATCTGTGTTAATATCTTTACCTCCTACACTCCAATATTTGGCAAAAGGTCTTTTCCTAATGCAGTCACAATCTATTGAGAATCATCTCAGTTCATACTATATTTGGAAAAACGTCTAGGTAGTAATGTCCCATTGAGCAATGCCAAATGATGATTGAGGTGGTTGCATTGTAATCTTTGAGTTTGACAGCTTTTGTGTCCACCAAACTTGCAAGGGGTTCATATTGAATTCATTCTTCATACATATCTTCAACAGTCATTATTAAATGCCCATTTATTTTGGTTCTGCCACTTTCAAACCAATAATTAGTCTGCATATTCAGAAACAGTAATGAAGCATGGTACGTACATGATTGGTTGTCGACATAGACTTTAGTTTAGGGATGGACTGGAATATTTTGGAATCTTATTTTTTTTAACGTAATTATGAATTTAAATTTCTATTCAAAATAACCGCAGGAAGTCTTTAG